GACCAGTATGCTTTTTATATGCTTAATAGACGTGAGGCTACAAGCTTTATTGTTGCAAAAAGCAAAACATTTCTGAACAGTCGTCTCTTTCCACCTGTGTAGTCTTGACTGTGGTGATAAGAGCGTATTTGCCATGGTGTACTGAAAATACTTATAACTTTACCTTGACAAATAGTTTCCATCAATGGCTTGGTAAAGAATAATTTCAAAGAATTTCCAGTTCATGGCCGTGGTTCCAAGGGGACAGGTAGGTAGAATTTCACTTTGCGGAAGTCGTCAAAGTGTGAGGGTGGGAACAAAATTGGGATTTGTGCCAATCCCAGATTACGGTTTTGCTGGTGGATACTGGGACATCTAGGCTGGTTGTGGAGTGGTTGTGGGGGCTGGTGGGGTGACGCCTCCGCTTTGTCCTTGAACTGACGAGTCAGCAGCGTGGGTTCCCGCGTGGCCCACAGCGAGTCTCGCATGGCGTGCCACTACCACCACCGCCCCACTAACACCATCCATGATGTCTGTGGCCCATCCATGCCATGTGTAAGCCACATATCCTCACTATCCCTACCTAAAAGGTTGTAGGGCCAGGATGTACTCAGGGATGTACTCCCGTCCCCTGGGCCTAGCATAGGGTTTAAACTACCAGAGGCATGCGGCGGCGCACTTAGATGCTTCACTGGTGAATATGTTTCCTCCACTATCACTACTCGGAAATGATCGTCGAGCGCAATAAAATTCACAATCCACGTCAGGAATCATCGTCAATTACTGAAGTCAGAGGCCAGGCCACGGGGAAAAATATAGTTTTCTATTACGTTAGGAAACACACGACCGTGAGTACGAGTGCCACACCAGAGGTAGAGGTCGAGGATCGTCGGGTTTTTTCTGCACTATTTATCGATTATCCTGGTCATTATTTTCGGTCACTAATTATCAAAGCCGTAGAATTCGTCTTCATTTCCACATCCATCAGTGTCAGAACTATCAGGACGGAAGAGGAGGAGTCCCAATTTTCGGGGAGTGAGAGCTGACTTGCGACGAGACATGGTGAACAAGGGTGACTGAGCCGGCGTTCCCACAATGCTATGCAGGCGCCTAGATTTTTTGTTTACGGCGCACACCCACGGCGCAGACCCATTCTCTCATATGTAGGCCTATGAGCGCTTTTCTGCGCTAATTTGACGGCGCTCTAGTAGAATTTTGGCGTTTTTTTTTTTTTTTTTTTTTTTTGTGTTTTTTTTTTTTTTTTCATTTTTTTTTTTTTTTTTTTGTCTCGGTTTGGACACTCACCGACCAGCCGTAGATCTACGGGACGGACCCTGAAAGGGTTAACAAGCATTTAATTGGTAGTTTAATTCTCCACAGCTAACATTATCAATGAGAAGGCATTAAACCTACAAGGGTCATACAATGCCACATGAACAGGTGACAAGGATAGAGATGGTGTAGATGCTGAGGAGGTATGGTAATTGGTAGAATGAAAGGATAATGGAGGACCTTGTTTTCTAAGACCACCACCAGTGTTAACACTGGCATGAGAAGGGGCAGCATCGACTAGCATTTTCAGTAATGGTGATATCATTAACAGCAGCATCACAAAAATATTTGTCTGAAGCAAGTCATAAGTTACATTCTACAGCAAACCCTGACAAATGGGGACTATTAAAATAGGTGTGAGCACTAAACTCATGAGGTCATGCAGTACATGAGGAATGAGAGGCAATTAAATTCAATCCAAGGAAGGGGAGGTTAGGTTCACTTCCTCCAGATCAAGAGCCCCTTACCAGCATCACAGTACGGTACCTTCCTTGAGTGACAAATATGGAAATGTATCTGCTACTTTTGGGGGGGAAAGGGTACTCAGGTTTGGCCTGAGGGAAGCCTGAGATTCCTCCGACCAGAACCATTCACCTTGGCAAAGAAACCACTTGCATGGTCTCATAACCAAGTGACAAAACAACAAATTACTGATTATGGTGTGAACTGCTAAAACTATCTACCATTTACTAAAAATTGTGAAGTGTTAGTCTATAACAGTAGGTAATGAATGTAACCGGAGGAGATAGGCATTTGAGAAATGGAAATAAACTTAAGGGAACAGGACTAATATGCTACTCCAATATAAGGTAGCACTTGAATCTTATTACCCTCTCCTTGGATCAAACCTGATTACCTTTGCCCGGCATATTGCCGGGTACACATACACACTCGCATCTCCCTTGTCTTAGTTGACAGGTTCGAACCTGAAGCGTTAACTTTCCATTCCCCCCAGACACTTGTGTAATAAAAATAGTTACATAAACACAGGGTAGATTGTGTAACTACATGTACAGTAGTTCCATGATCAACACTAGGAAAAAATTTGCTGTATAGCCCTTGTGGCTTAGTGCTGCTTTGATTATAATAATAGGAAAAACTTGCTAGTTAAACTTGTATGTAATACTGTATTATATACAACTTTAATAGAATACAATTCAGTAAAAAATTTTTACCCTAAGTATTGTGCCAAAGTAATTGATTTGGGAACATTAATTACAAACCATTCACAGCCAAGTTTCCATATGATCATCTGTGAGGATAACAAGTGGGTACAGTAAATTTATTCTATGGCATTAAATAAACTCGCATGGAGACAAAAAAAAAAGAAAAAATATCCTGAAGATCGGTCACAGTGCGAGGCCAAAATGTGCATTACTCGCAGCTGTTGCTTTGTCATCTCTATATGGGTTAGTTTGTGACTGACCATTGTATAATATAATGAATTCGTGATATGCTTAAAATAAAATTTTTCCCAATATGTCAGAGCTTGAAAAACATTAAATCTGGATACTTTATAGTATTTCCGAGTCACTCACTGTAACAACACTTGCTGCCGTAAAGCTACACTACTGTGCTGTATAAATAGTACACTAAGTATTTTAAGTTTTTCAAAATAAAGTAGCTGTATAGTCCTTGTGGCTTAGTGCTTCTTTTTGATTATAATAATAATAATAATCAAAATAAAGTATATTGCTTTGATATGTACAGTACTGATTAACCCTTTATGAAGGTTCCGATTACAATTTTGGACAAGGTGAGAAAATATTCTTGCCCATAATTTATGTAGTCAATAGTTTTTCTGCACTATCCACTGCCCTGCTGCACTCCATGACAATCCCTCTCCCTCTTGCTACCCAATACCCCTGCACCTTCCCTGCTCTGATGCGCTGTATGACCCTCGTAGATTTAGCACTTCTTTTTTATTATAACAGTTTTTCTAATCACTTTCATTATATGGTGATGAGTCTTATCTTTGTCTTATCACTGCTGTTTATATATATTTTTTTCTGTAATTACTGTGTGTTGACAATAATTAGAATATTCAGTTGTGCAGTGCTGTATGACCCTTGTGGGTTTAGCACCTGGTTTTGATTATAATTACTGAGTGTCTTTGCCTGCTCTGTTCCCATACTCATTATCATAATATCGTCTTTTCAATGTCCTATATTTGCGTAGCATATACAATGCCTCTATCTCCTTGATCACAAACTCTCCTCGTCCAATCATCATCTTGATTTGCTCTGGATCAGTGAATCCTTATTTGAGAAAGGATTCTTGAGCTTCTCTCTGAAGTACTCATACCCCATGGGATACTCTCGGCCAAGATACAGCAACTGAGGTGTAATAGAGATTTATTAAGAAGTCATTTGTGTTAAAATTCATTTTTAAAAACTGTTTGCATAAACCTGTTGAATGTTCAGTTCCTTACTTCTCAGCACATTGAAACTCTTGAATGCTGCATATGCCTTCCATTCCAGATTATACACCCTATTTGCAAACTTCTCTTAAATTTATTCTTTCTACCTTGACCAAACCAACTTGGCAGCTCTTCTTTCAATTTTTGAATTACGTATTTCATAACACTAGTCTTCTAATGCCTTAATTTTCTGCATAACATAGCAACAACATTCATCTCAGATGTGATATTTCCACTGCCTCTAACCTTTTCCTGCAACATTTAAATACCATTCTTCAAATACATACACAAGTAAAAAACAATATTAGGGCTGTTTTATTTAATTTCTTGTATGGCTACAGTATTTTTTCATGCACAAAATAGTGTGTATAATGTAGGTTTGTGTCTGTATTTTGTTGGATAATCTAAGCAGGGTTTGAAACTTGTGAAACGACTTTTAAAATATGCTCGTGGGCCCCCAGTGGGCCCTTGGCCCATTGAGGATCAGTGCATTATAGACATGAGTAAATGTAACCAGTTATTTTTTATATTTGTACCATATTTATTTGTAACTTGGGTTAACCCTTGTTGAAAACAGGAAAGCCTGTGCATGGCTTGACCCAAGAGTGTCTTCAAAAATATAATTAGCCATTCAGTAATTGGTCATATGTACATATATTTGTAATTATTAAAAGAAATAATTAGTTTTTATGTATTATATGTTTTGTAAATTATTAATAAGAATCCATGTACCATCACTGTCAGGTATAGTAATTATATCCTTCTACTATCTAGTTAGTTATTTGTAGACTTTACATAAGGGTTATTAATTGAGACAGCAGTCCACATAAACTAACCAAGGATAACTTAATATGTAAAGTAAAAGGACACAAGTGCAACTAATGTGATATTTTATTGTGGCAACGTTTCACTCTCCAGGAGCTTTGTCAAGCCGAAACGTTGTCAAGCAAAACATTGCCACAATAAAATGTCACATTAGTTGCACTTGTGTCCTTTTACTTTACATATTGTCAGTAATTCTACCAACTTTATTACGATAATTTAATACCTGAAAAGGGATTAATGCAGGTTTGTGTAATATATGCTGAGAGATACACCTGTGTTTAAATGAGTAATTTATACTGTATACATGTACATATATTGCAGGTACTGTATTTGTATTATAGATGTATATTTTATGTATACTGTGACTGAAATGTTGCAGTGAAGTCTCTTAATTTCCTATGTGCATTTTATATAGCTTTGCTTCTTGATTTTTTTTTTTTAACAGGCATCTGGTCCATCTTCATCGTCGTCATCATCAGGTCCTCCATCTGCCAGCATCCAGATTCCCAATCTTGAAGAGTCTTTACAGCTCATGAGAGAAATGGGTATCCCAGATGAAGATCTTAGTCGTCAAGCTTTGCAAGCCACAAATGGAGATGTCCAAGCTGCAGTGAATCTCATATTTGCCCAGTGGATGGCTGATGATTAAATTTTTTAAACGTTTGTGAATTTTAAATTCAGTATATTTTTTATCTTCTGTTACTTAGTGTAGATTGCTAGTATTTTAATATTTCTTACTATAGTTATATTCAATATATTTATTCACTTAATATTATTTTGTAGTAATGTTTCTTGCATTGTTAAACTAAAGAAAACAGACTAAAATTTATTGATCTACAGGAAAAATAAAGAAGTTATAATAAATTTCTTATTTACCCCTCATTTTTCAGGCATTGAAATAGTGCACTGTAACAAATTCAAATTATTTTTTATATTGTAGTCTGAGAAAAGGCCATGTCCCCTGCAAGAGAACCATATTCCTTTATGCAGTGTTTTCAGAGGAGTTTGCCCTGAACATTAGAATGTAGAGACCCCCAGGAACAGATTATGTACTTCTGTATTTATTGAAAATGAGGTACAGTCAGTGTTGAATGTGAAGTATGGTAGAAAGCAAGGAGTTGAAGTATGTATCACTTCTAATGCATTTTGGAAATCCAAAACTTACAAATGAGCCAGATATGGTAGCAGTATGCATAGAGGTAATTAGTGCATATATGTAATTCTGGAGGGAAGGAGGGGTAAGGGTCATCCTAGGAAAGGATGGAGAGGGGGGGTATAAGAGGTTGTGTGTGCAAGGGGCTGGACATGCAGCAGGCATGTGTGAACGTGTTCGGAGTGAATGGAGACGGATGGGTTTTGGGACGAGCTGTTGGAGTGTGAGTAGGGTAATATTTTGTGAAGTAATTCAGGGAAACTGGTTAGCCAGACTTGAATCCTGGAGGTGAGAAGTACAGTGCCTGCTCCTTTTTGGAGAGGTTTGGGATATTGGCTGTTTGGAGTGACACCTAAACTGTCATATCTGGGCGCCTCTGCAAAGACAGTGATTGTGTGTGAACGATGGTGAATTTTTTTTTTTTTTTTTGTCACCCTGCACTGTATAGTCCTTGTGGCTTAGCGCTTCTTTTTTATTATAATAATAATGTCACCCTGCATCGGTAGGAGACGGCCAACGTGCTAAAAAAATAAAAAAAAAAAAAAAAAAAAATCCTGCAGTCCAGTCTGAAATTGTATGAATAGTTTCCAAAGCTAAATACAATGTGAATCGAGTAATTAGTTAAATTCTAAGTCATCTTCAGCATTTGAATCATATGACACTTGTTATTCTACAATATTGTAGTTTACCTGGTGCTGTGGTCAGTTTTGCTAGTTCTATTATTGCAGCCCAAACTGAGGCAAGGTTGCCTTATGCCCTGCTCTGTGGATCTCCTTTTATACAAGAAAATGTTTCAAATGAGGTATTAACATGTGAAATATAGCTGAATAAAAAAAACTGCTTTAAAATAGTTCAGATATCAGCCAAGTTAATACAGGTAATGAACAGATATTAACCCTTTCAGGGTCCAAGGCCCAAATCTGAAGTCACGCACCAGTGTCCAAGAAATTTTGAAAAAAAAAAATTATTTTTTCTTACAGAATTAAAGAGCATATTTTTGTGAAGGTAATAAAACAAAAAAAAATAGAATCTGATCAGTACTTACCGAGATACAGTGCCAAGAAGTTTGTAGAAAATGATGTGGTGGCGGCAACATCGACGAATTCCACATACGCGTATTATATTATTTTGTTGTTTTAGTTGTTTTTTCTTTTCTTTTCCTTTTTTTTTTCTTTTCCCTCAACTTTTGGGGCCTGGAGCCCAAATACTGTAATAATTTTATATATATAAACTCACGTATTAACACAATAACCGCCTAAATTTTTAAAATCAAAATTATTTTTACCACTGTTGTTTATTACAAAAAACAGCACAAATTTTGTATAAAAAAAAGTTCATCAATATTTACATATTTACAATCACTGGACATGGTTTTAAATGTGGAGCTTGTGGCCCCTTTGAAACAAGGCCCATGACAGAGGCACCTTAATTCCTCACACAAAACCGGTGTTTTGGTCTTTGTTGCCGTCGTTTTTTTTTGTGCACAACAAGCATCTCTTCTGAGCAAATTTCTTTGATTGAAGGAAGCTGATTATGAAAGACACCTTTCTTCTCAAACGCTGGGTATATTGGTGAATTTCGAGGACCATGTTTATTGCGGTGTTTTTTCCCGGTTTTTCTTTTGAGTTAGTCGACAACAGCAAAAAAAATTAAACCATAGGTGGTCTGTTACCAGTCTTTATTTGGTACATTTATATGCATTCACATTAAAAGCAGAAGGAAAAAAGTTTCATGTACCACTTGTACTCTTACGAACCAGCAAAAAAACCAATCTGCATGTCACACTTTTCAACCAAGCCCCATTTTTTGTGAAAACAATCATGTAAAAGGTTTTCAAATTCGTTCATTAGTCCTCGATCAATTTCCCACTGTCTTGCATTATTACGGGAATGGTTGTCAACAAGTGAATCTCTTTTTGTCATGCCACCGTAATGCATGATGTCTTGGCAGAAAAACACCTGAAAACGTCATCCCCACGAACACCGCGTTGACCTGGGCAATGTTTACGATTAGAACGCACTGTCCCACACATCTTCTTGTTTCACTCGCATAAAATATGAGTAAGGGCTTGTGTACCAGTTACGGAAAAAATGTATGGCCTTACCAAGAAAAGGGTGCCATCATTTTTCTCCTCGTCACCTATTCCCCCAAAAACATCTTGGATCTTTCAATGTTTTACTACCCGTGTAACAACAATATCCAACACCAGGCCACTGCCCAAAAATCACGAGACAAAAAATTTTTTACCAAAGGGGTTCCTCTTGCTCGTAATACCTTGAATGCAGTTACCTTGAAAAAAAATAAAAAACTCTCATTCAAGATTTTGAATGGTTTAAAAAAAGTATATCCAAACTTTTTTTTGAGATACAGAAAACATTTCTAATTTTGTATAACCTGTCACTTCGTCGGGCCCTGGTTTTGTCAGAGAAGGGAAACAAGTAACAGTAAGTAAACCCCTGTTCACGGGTATTATTTCATGAAGGTGGGGTACAATTAGCCGATCGTGGACAGAGTTTTTATTTTTTGCTTAAGACGGAGGCATAAGCATTATTGTTGCAAAAAGCAAATACATTTTCTGCAACAGTCGTCTCTTTCCCCTGTGTAGTCTTGCTGTGTGAAAAGATCGTATTCCAGGGGTTTTGAAAAATTTACTTTTATTTCCCCCTGACAATTTTCCATAAAGGGCTGGTCAAGAATTTTCAAAAAATTCCAGTTCATTGGCCGGGGTTTCCCAAAGGGGGACGGTGGGGTAGAATTTCCCTTTGCAGTCATAAAAGGGGTAGGGCGGGGAAACAAAAATTGGATTTTGCTGCCAATCCCAGATACGGTTTGCGGTGGATACTGGCACATAGGCTTTTTTGTGGGGTGGTTGTGGGGGGCGGGTGGGTGACGTTCCGTTTGGGTCCTTGAACTGACAGTCGGGCAGCGTGGGTTCCCGCGTGGCACAGCGAGTCACGCATGGCGGTGCCATCCCACACCAGCCCACAACACCACCCATGATGTCTGGGCCCATCCATCCAAGTGTAGCCACTCATCCTCACTATCACTACCTAAAACGGGTGTAGGGCCACGGGATGTACCCGGGGTCCCCGCCCCGGGGGCATAGATAGGTACACTACCCCGAGGCCATGCGGGGCGCACATACCGATGCTTTCACTGGTAAAATATGTTTCCTCACTTCACTACTCGAATGACGTCGAGCGCAATAAAATCACAACCCAGTCGAATCATCGTCTTTACTGAATCGGGGCCCGGCCAGGGGAAAATATATTTTTCTCTTACTTTAGGAACCCCCCGACCGTGAGTCACAGTGCCCCAAAAACCCAGAGGTAGAAGGTCGAGGAGTCGGGGTTTTTTTCTGCACTATTACGATATCCTGGCTTTTTTTCGCACTAACTTTCAAAGCGTAAATTCGTCTTCATTTCCACTTCCATCAGGTCAGAACTATCAAAAGGAAAGGAGAGTCCCAATTTTTGGGGTGGAGCTGACTTGCGAAAGACTGGTGAACAAAGGGGGACTGACCGGCGTTCCCACAATGCTATGCAGGCCCTAGATTTTTTTTACGGCGCACACCCACGCGCAAACCCCTTCTCTCATATTTTGGGGCCCATGGCGCTTTCGCGCTAAATTTGACGGCGCTAGAATTTTTTCGTAATTACGTTTGGACAATCACCGACCAGCTAGATCTACGGGACGGACCCCAAAGGGTTAACAAAAATTTAAAAGGTAGTTTTTAAATTTCCACAATAACATTTCAATGAAAGGGTTAAACCTACAAGGGGGTTTACAATGCCACATGAAAAAGGTACAAGGATAAGATGGGGTAGAGCTGAGGAGGTATGGTAATTGGTAGAATGAAAAAAAATGGGGGGCCTTTTTTTTTTAAAACCACCCCCATGTTAAAAAACGGCATGAGAAGGGGCGCATCGACTAGCATTTTCAGTAATGGTGAAACATTAACGCAGCATCCAAAAAAAATTTTTCGAACAAGTCATAAGTTACATTTTACAGAAACCCGACAAATGGGGGCTATTAAAATAGGTGTGGCACTAAACTCATGAGGTCATGCAGTAATGAGGAATGAGAGGAATTTTAAAAACAAACCAAGGGAAGGGGGAGGTTTGGGTTTACTTTCCTCCAGATCAAGAGCCCCCCCTTTCCAGCATCACAGTACGGTACCCCCCCTTGGTGACAAATATGGAAAAGTATCGGGTACTTTTGGGGGGGGGAAAGGGTACCGGTTTGGCCTGAGGGAAGCCTGAGATTCCTCCGACCAGAACCATTCACCTTGGGAAAGAAACCACTTGCATGGTTCCCTAACCAAGTGACAAAACAACAAATTACGATTTGGGGTGAATGCTAAAAAAATACTACCATTTTTCTAAAAATTGTGAAAATGTTAGTCTATAACAGTAGGTAATGAATGTACCGGAGGAGATAGGCATTTGGAAAGGAAATAAACTTAAGGGAACAGGACTAAAATCTACTCCAATTTAAGTAGCACTTGAATCTTTTTACCCTCTCCCCTTTGGGTCAAAACCCTTTTCCTTTTTCCCCGGGATATTGGGCCGGGGAAACATACACACTCGCATTCCCTTTTCTTAGTTGACAGGTTCGAACCTGAACGTTAAATTTCCATTCCCCCCGAATTGTGTAATAAAAATAGTTACATAAACACAGGGTAGATTGTGGAAATACATGTACATAGTTC